TTTCCCAACTTCCTCCCCCCCCCCCCCCCCTTGGAAGTCTGCAGAAGCTATGATGCTAGAAAGCAATGCATCTCTATCCCATAATTTGGCATTGAAAGACTGAAGTGCACATGTGCACCTGTGACCCCTCCGTAGCATATCAGAGGATCCTCCGATGGTGGGACGGAGAGGCATGAGGGCGGCATTCCGTTACTATCAGCTTACATAAAAGGGAGTGATGGCCAGAAACACAGCAACCCACAACCACCGTCCCCCCTCAGGTACGGCCCAGGAATGCAGCGTGAGGGAACCCCCCCCCCATCCTCCCGGAGAACGTCACCTACGTTGATCAGAATACAATGCAGGTCGGCAGGTTCTCCCGGCTTGTCAGAGCCGCCCAGGATCTCGGCCAGCCGGCTCATGTTGTTCACTCGCAGGATGTTGATGTCGTTCTCGCAGCAGAACGCCTGGATCAGAGTGAAGTGAATCTGCAGAGCGACATCCTGGTCTTCTGTTTCATCTGTGGCCAGCAGACAAAGCACCACATTGTCCGGGTCCCTGCAACACAACAAGCACATGGAAGGGTTTAGAACACGAGACAAAAGCTTAAAGAGAACCTGTCATGGGGAAAGCACAGGAGCTACCGCTGCAAAATGCTAGGTGCCTGGCTGTCAATGCTTTCTAGGATGGGTAGCCATAGGATTATCCCTGCGGGAGGGGGGGGCATTTTTACTGCTACCTCTGCACCCTTCCCCCTAATGTAATTTGAATGCTGTACTAGTGTAACCCCAAATCTCAGCTCCCCAGGACAAGTGCAGCAAGTCGTAGTATCTACTATGTTCAGACTCATTGCCCTAAAGGGTTAACCGGCTGCTGCAAAAGTTTACAGTTACTATGCACCGCCCATGCATTTCATGTAACACTAGTCCTGACCATTCATAGTCCATCCGCTGAGGAACCACAATGGCCATGCTGTGACTTGTAGTTCCTCAGCAGCTGGAAGATCACATGACTCTCTAAGGCAGAGACGATGACCTCTGCAGAGCACACACGGTTCAGTGACGGCACGTTCAGCGTTGTACTTACACATTGAGAAGTTTGGCTGCTTCGTACACCCCGATGGTGATGGTCCTCTGCAGCTTGGCTTTGTCCAGCACCTCCTCCAATGCGGTGCCCACACTGTCCATCCTGCAATGACAGGTCCTCATTAGCTGCATTCTACAGAGACCGACAAAGACTGAGTCACAGCTGATTCACAAACAGCACCGGTCATCCACACACATCCACCGACTGGGGACACATCACAGACCCCCCAACGCACCCCTCTGCTACAGTCATAGTCCTAAATATGCAAAAGAGGTAACAGTGACCCAAACCTGCAGGTTACCCGCACACCCTATAGGGACCTGTGCAGACTCTGCTATGTCACCCTACTGCAGGGTCACCACCGGATCATCTGCATCACCAGCTCTCAGCACCCTGCAAAGCAGCTTATGTCACCCAGCTACAGAGGAAGCATCACCCTCCTACTGCAAGGCCACCTGACCAGAGTCACAGCATGACCACCCTGCATGCCAAATGCAACGGCCAGGTCGGGTCACCAGCATGCCACAGACTGTGCAACTGTCAGAATGGGGTCCCCAGAATTTATTGCAAAATTCAGAATGGGGTCATCAGCCTCCCATACAGAGGTCAGATCGGGGTCACCAGTCTCCCTTGCAGAATTCAAAATGGGGTCACTAGCCTCCCATACAGAGGTCAGATCGGAGTCACCAGCTCCCCTTGAGCAAATCAGATCGGGGTCACCAGTCTCAACCATGCAGCAATCAGATCGGTGTCACCAGCACCCCATGCAGCAATCAGATCGGTGTCACCAGCACCCCATGCAGCAATCAGATCGGGGTCACCAGTCTCCCCTTGAGGCAATCAGATCGGGGTCACCAGTCTCCCCTTGAGGCAATCAGATGGGGAGTCACCATACTCTTTCTTGCAGCAGCGATAGAACGGGGTCACAATCAGCCCAGAATGCATCAGCAACACTCCAAGTCACCCGGAATGGGGTCACCAGACACAGCACAGTAATGGTCCATCCATGGTCTCCCCGGTGCTTACTTTCCACGGCTCTGCTCTCCAGTCAGCTCCTCCAGTGTCATATTGCAGGCGGCGATCCTCGTCAGTCACAGCTCAGCAATGTTCTCAGTGTCACGTCTCCGTCTACTCTGACTCACGGCACCGCTCACCGGGCTTCTAGAGCAGAGCCATCTCATTAGCATACCGCCGCTCATTGGTCCGCGCTTACGACGGCCCCTCCTCTCCCCCCTCCGCCTGCTCGCAACTAACTCGTGGGTAGCAGCCGATTGGCCGGCCGTGGGATGATGGGCGGCGCTTCTGTGGGCAGACGGTTGCTAGGCGATGGGGACTGGCGCGGTAACCCGTTCGCTGCTGCTGCAGCCAGCTGAGTGCATTGGTTGGCCGCAGCGAGGGAAGCGCCGTCTCCTTCACCTTGACTTTACCGTCCATGAGCAATGCCCATCCCGGGCCCTCCACATCGCAGGGATATCATCCCCTTTACCGTAAATGTCAAGCCTCTGACAGATCAGCCCGCAATGTGGGACCGGATCTGGACAATAGACGCGAAATAAATCGAGTTGGTGGAAATATTCTCTAATATAAGACAACGTAACGTCATCGCCTTGATTCAGGATGACAATAACTTTATCATTAAATTGTAATGGACAGAATCGGAGCCCATTGTTCCCTCTTCCTCAGCTGCATTGGCTATAATTGCATTTGTTAGTGTTTGCTGCAGCGTGGGGCCTCCACAGGGTGCAATGGGGCTCCATTCTATTGATAATCCAGAACTTACCTGGATACCCCTCAGCGCTGCTGGGCTAATAACTCCTAGCAGCCAATCAGAGAGCAGCATTCATCAGTTACTGTGTCACTAGTCAGATTGAGGAGAGCTGCATCCTGATTGGCTGCTGTGATGGGGGACCCAGTGCTCATTGGACCTTGAATTTTTTTAAATAGAGGTCACAAGTTTAATATGTGTCACTCCCGCCCCCCTTCCCCAGTATACCAGGACCTGTGCACCCAATCACTTACCTGTACACCTGATCAGCTTCAACGGAGACTACAAGTTGCCTTTTTAACACATTACGCAGGCATGGTCCACTGCTCTCACCATCAGGAAATCTGCCCTGAGAAAGGCCATGAAGGTCCTCTTTATTACAGGGTGACAACGCTGGTCCCTGTCTTCCAGTTGTCTTCCGGCGTTGTCACCCAACCACAGAGCCTACAAGCAGCTGTGTGATGTATGTTTACACATATCGCTTCAGTGGAGGGGAATGTAGAGTTCTAAAGCTTTTCTGGAACTTAAAGTGGAACTACAACCTCCTATCCCTTACAGCCATGGAAGGCGCCATCTTGGCCTCTATTGCAGTTGCCATGCATGGTATTGCGGTACTGCGCTGACTTCCATTGCCGGGGCAGCCATCTTCAACCGGCCTCTTCCAGGTTCAGAGTCTTCGACCATCATGATTGGCCCGGGCTGGACTGATATAACGTTAACGCTTGCGCGCGGCAATCCTGCCCAGACTGCACTCCGAGCCGTACATGCTCAGTGTGCACCCAGAAAGAAAAAACGCTGACAGGCCGGGAGACGCATTTATGACAGAAGAGACGTGCATGGGCCTAATTCAAAGAGACTTGGAAGAAGGAAAAATTGTTCTTGTTACCCATGGCAACCAGATGCCAGACGACCTTGGGAAAATAGAAGCTGAGATCTGATTGGTTGCTATGGGCAACAAGAACAGTTTTCTTCTTCTAGTCTTTGTGAATTGGCCTCACAGACTTTCTTTTGGCAACGACTTAAAATCATTTTACTTCCACTTTGAAGAGTATTTGCAAGTATATATTTTTTCTTTTACATTGTATACCGCGTTATGCATCGTGCAACGTACAGGCCGGCTCGTACTCGCCATGCCAAGGATAGGGCCAGGGACAGCGTAACGCCTGCGCGCACGTATAGAGGTTGCATCATCAGTGGCCGTCCAATGAGTAAAGAGAATCACCAACAACAGTGAAGGAGAGCCAAGCAAATTGCATTTTCAGAGGTCAGCAATGGCTGCCTCCGTATGTTCTCTCATTGGGGGCAATTTATAAAAACTGGAGCAGACAGGATCTGGAGCAGTTGCCCATGGCAACCTATAAGTTTTGCTTTGAAAATGAAAGCTGATTGGTTGCCATGGGCAACTGCTCCAGTTGTGTTAAATGCCCCGCATTGCCTGTGTTCAGGAATATAGGGATAGCTCTGCTGCCTGACCCTGGGAATACGGGACTGTAATGCACTTTGCAGACCTTTGGCTGCTTTTTCCCTGTCACATTGTGTGACATTATGCAACCTGTAGCTCTCTGCTGTTGTGTAAGCGCTCTTTGGACATGCTGGGACAAGTATCACACGTTTTATTCGGTATTGGGTCGTTTGACACCCACACACTCTATGACCTCGGCGGTATCCAGCACTGAGGCGAACATACGCGGGCAAAACACGGCCAGTGACGTCAGCCCCTCAGGGGGGGGCGGTTCCCCATCCCGGACGGTTGCCATGGTGAGCGGCCTGACTGGAAGCCGGGTGGATCCCCGGGCTCGGAATGCAGGAAGCCAGTCACGTGCTCCCCCGGTCAGCTGTCAATCACAGCGCGAAGCCTTCCCGAAACATGTGACGGCGGTGTTGTCACTCGGGCTGGAATCCCCCCGGATCTGCTGCAGAACCTCTTTGTAGTGCCGGGGCTGACAAGAGGCTCCCAGCCACAACCTGGGCAGCTGAATTGATGGACGCACATCAACGTTTATAAACGCACTTCAGTTGATGTGCATTGAAATGCATTTTTAACACGTTGCATTACACTGATGTGTGCTTCTTTTTTTGGTTCATCATTTTTTATGGTGCACTCGCATTGGAGCACGTTGCACTGCGTTCAGGGCTAATTAACACTTTTGCGTGTTCATGCGTTGAGCATTTTTGATTTGGCCAATGAAAGCAAGAGGATGCTAGGGGGTGGGACTGAAATGCGCTAAAATGCATGCATGCTACATGCATTCTCCGTGAGCTGCCATTGAAGTCGGTGGGGAACAAAAATGTACGTTGATGCACCTGTACTATTTTTCCCAAGGAACGGTAGGGTGGTGCGCAAGTGTGAACGGACTCCATAGCAAAGAAAGGCAATCCTCTTGTCATGCATGCACATTGGACAGCGTACGTTAAAATGCACAGGTGTGAACGGGGCCTTAGGTCGCATTCACACCAGACACAGTGCGTTCCGGCTGGATCCCATTGCGGCCGGCTCACTTTGTTGTGGGATGGGAGGGGCATGGCGGTGCAATGAAGTGAATGGCACCGCAGTCACGCCGTCCGGCCGCACGAGAACGCGTGGCACATCAACGCCTGTGTTCCAGTCAGAAAAAATAGTGCTTGCAGCATGTCTTGTGACGCACTGTGAAGGGCCCGGCAGTATGTTATGTTTTCTGCCTGACTACATACAGAAGACACGCCTCTGCTCCTCCCCCTAGGAAAGTGATTGACAGCAGCCACAGAGGAGGCGTGTCTTCAGTGTGTTGCCCTATTGGGCTGCATCCTCACATCAGCCTCCAGTCTTCTTCTGGGAGCGCGCACAAAGGGCGGCACCATAGGACCCCCGCAAGGCAAGGGAGCCACTCTATTATTGGAAACATGCATCAGCAAACGGGACCGGCTACAACAGGGGTAAGGGAATGTTTAACATGAAGAAGGGGAAAGTGATGGAGTCCCAAAGCTTTGACACACTCCACTTCCTCTTCATTGAGCCAGGAGAGTCAGATGCATACACAGGGGTGGTAACGTTGTACTACTTCATCATGTGACTGTGTACGGGGCTGGTGATAGGCCACTTTGCCTCATGGAAGTCATATACCCCCCACCCCCCTTTCCAAGATCTGGAAGAATCTGTATTTTGTGATGGTTCCAACTTACGCAGGACAATGGCGGCAGTGCTGGTGATTGGCCCGGCGCTGTCACATGGTGTGAATCACATGCTCATCCATACCTGGAAGTATCAATTATTTTCCTTTTCTGAAACAATAAAGAGAACCTGTAATGGAAGGAAACCCGTCAGACTAACACCAGAGGTAGCTGCAACTGCTGGCTCATGGGTGCAAGCTCCAGGACTGTCATCCTCGTCCTTTTCCTCACTACATGGTGAGTCGCTGACCTCAGATAAGCATGCAAACAGTGTAGCTGAGTTACAGTCCTGCACCTTTCAATGCAGTTTGTCAATGGCAACAAGTGTTCCTGCTCTGGTAGGTCCTCTGAGCACCGGGACTGCAGGATCGGGGGGAGCGGAATGATGTCCGATCCAGAGATTTCCAGTTGCGGAATTCGGGTTCCTCCGTTCTTCTTTCCATCTCCGCACCTGGAATTAGGTTTCCTGAAGACCAGAAATTCTCCATCGGGGATCCGTGGAAAGTAGAGTTCTTCAGGAGGTCTCTGGGGTTCTCTTCAGCGTCAGTGGATTGACCTGAATAGTCCCGGGGGCAACGTTATATAGTAGAGCCGGCGGAGTGGCACCGGTGGAGTGGAAGTGACCACTAACACCAGGGAGCTTTTTAGATGTCTGTGGGGGCGCATTCTTCCTACTGACCTCTAATTCCAAGGGCGTTCTTCCTCGCACCGATCATAGATGTAAGACGGTGCCATTCTCACTGACCACCAGCACAAAGGGGCCCTTCTCCACCGGCCACCAATGCTAGGAGACTCAACTCTACTAATCACCAAGGTAAGGTGGCCTTTTCCACTGATCACCAATGTATGGGACACATGTCCACTGACCAGCAATGTATGTAGGTCCTTCTCTACTGATCACCAATATAAGGAGGCCCTTCTCTACTGACCACCAATATAAGGAGCTCCTTCTCTACTGATCACCAATATAAGGAGGTCCTTCTCTACTGACCAATATAAGGAGGTCCTTCTCTACTGACCACCAATATAAGGAGGCCCTTCTCTACTGACCACCAATATAAGGAGACCCTTCTCTACTGACCACCACTATAAGGAGGTCCTTCTCTACTGACCACCAATATAAGTAGGTCCTTCTCTACTGATCACCAATATAAGGAGGTCCTTCTCTACTGACCACCAATATAAGGAGGTCCT